TGTCGAGGCCGGTTCTCGACACCTTTCTTTGGAATAGGCAAAAATATGCCTCTCTTCCATCAGTTGATCAGGCAGTCGTCTTCCAAATTTCTTGGCATACACAAGTGAGTGCCTTGAGTGCCACCTCACTTCATTAAAAGATTTTAATTTGTATTCCATAAATCCCTGGTGCCTTGTTCTTTGCCAATGTCTTCGATGCACCTTGGACTTCTTCCTTCAGGATCATTGGCTCTTGATCACATGCTATCTCTTCAAATGGTTAAACATTGACCATTTCCTTTTGGTAATGGTCCAAAAGGAAATGGTCCTTTAGAAATTAAACAACACATTATTAAATGACCTATGGGTATTTTGTATTTGCTACTCTTATTAATTTCTAATTTCCTTCTTTTGTGGTGGGAGAAGCTACTTTGTATGATCTCTGTCATTGAAAATTTAATGGGATTCTTTGGTGATATAGTGTATGGTCTGTCCTGGAGAATTACTCATGTAACTGGAGAATGATGTGTATTCTTCTGTTTTGGGGTGTTGTTGTTGTTGTTGTTTTAAGTGCTGTCAGGTCAGTTCCAACTCATATGACCCTGTATAGGGTTTCTGAGGAGCGGCTGGTGAGTTTGAATCACCAACCTTGTAGTTCAAACTGACCTTGATGTCGTGTACTTATCCTATAGCACCACACCAGGACTCCATGAGAATAGTTACTACACTTGATCTTAGCCAAAAGGCCGAGAAGCTATAAATATTCTATATCTGTATGGTAGTTCTAAATGGTTTATAGTATTGTCCAAACCTTCTAGCTCCTTAATCATCTTCTTTCTTGATGTTCCCTCCAATATCAAAAATGGTGGATTGAAGTCCCCAGCTATGATAGAACTATCTACTACTTGGTTCATTCTGTCAGTATTTGCTTCACAAATTTTGGGGCTTTGATGCTAGGTGCATCTATATGTATAATTTTTATAACTTCTTGATCAATTGTCTCTTTTATCATTATATGGTATCTGTCTTCATTTCTTATTACTAATTTTGACTTAAAATTTATTTTGTTTGATATCAGTTTGGAAGCCCCTGCACTCTTTTGGAAAAAGATAGTAGTGTGTTGAAGAGACAAGATAAAAATACAGATCTCTATGAGAGAAAAAAGAGAAAGTAAATTTCTACATATCAAAGTAGAGAATTATGCAGAATTTCCATTTTCCTTGGAAGAAAGCAGTATCACAAATGAAACTTAAAGAAATAGATGACACAAATGAACTCAAGGCATTAAAGTGAAAAAATGACTGGATACATTGTGTGTTCCCTGAGTGGGATTCCTCAGGGACAGAGCTGCCCAGAGGAATCCAAGATGGCACTCTGCACGTGCAGGGAGGAAGAGTGTCTCCTCTGGCAG